TGAATTTATTTAATGGAATCAGAGATTAAAAAATGTGTTTGTTATATATTCAGCACTTACTGTTTGTTTGCTGGTTGCCATAGTAACTGAAAAAAAAAGTCGGCTCATCAATCGAACAACAGTTGCATGTAAATGAGACGAGAGTCTTGATTGGTCAACGTCATTACCTGGACTGCATGTGGGCGGGGCCTAGACATTAGTGATGTCAGAGCTACTGACTGTTACTGTAAATAAATTAAAGAGGTTTTTTTTTTCTTTTAAAACATTTTCAATTTTTTCTGTAGAACACTAATCGTCTGTTTGTCTTTTATATTTGTTCCAACTCTTTATGAAAATATCTTTGTAGCATTTACTATGAAAATAAAAAATGTACAAACAGGTCTCACTTCATTTTTAATTTAAGGTGAAACTTATTTGACCTTTGTTTGAACAAGCTGAACAGTTTTTCATGTTTGATTGAATATTTGATTGTTATTTACGTTGTCGTGGACACAAACAAAGACTTGTAAACATCTTCTTTATTATTCATTTTAAAATTGTAAACTTCCGAACAAGGTGGGCAGCGTGGCCGGTTTGGGGTGGGGCTTGTAGCCGATGCGCTCGTTGATTAGCTCCACCCTCGACGCCGCTGTAGAGGAAGATGAGGCTCCGCCCCCGATTATGTCAACGCTGATAACAGAAGACCCGCCCACTCCGCCTCCTGACTCCGCCTCCTCTCGCTGACGCTTCCTGGCCTAAAAAACAAGTTTATTTTTTACCAGCCGACAGAAATGATCTAGAAACGTGATCGATGACGATAGCAACCAAAATGGATTCAAACCTCAAGCTCCTTCTTGACGCTCTCAAACTCCTCGGTGTCGTCGATCTTCAGCTCCAGACGAGTCGGTTTCCTCCTCAACATCTTCTCACACTTCCTGCAAGAGCAGACGTCACACGTCAGAACTGTGACGTCACATCACTGCTGCTCCACTCAACTCTGTCAGACTTTTGCTTTGGTATAAAAACTTGAACCTTGATAAACTTCTCCATTCATGTCCGACACCGTCTTCTCTTGTCAATGTAAATACTTTATGATTAGTGCTGAGACAGGAAGTGACATCACCTGACTGACGTTTGTTTCATGTTCAGGGAGGTTAAACACAGGATTTCTCACCTTGTACATATTGTTAACATCTATAATTTGTACAAATAAAGTTTGGTTTTATTTAATGGCCTAACAAACTAAATCACGTGACTTCAGTTCACTCAAACTAACTGAGTCATTATTTCTGTTTGATAAACTTCTGTCAATAATAAGATTTTTAAAATAATGTGTAAGTCCCTGTTCCAGCTGGAGGGGGCGCCCACGTGCATTTTCATTGTTTCCTTCTGCACATTGTTGCTGAACCGCGTCAATGATCGATCAGTGAGTCGCTGCCGTAGAAGAAGAAACAAGAGCCTCATCTCGTCTGAAGGTAAACAGGTGCTAAGCTAACAGGCTAACGTATATTTAAAGGTCTAATAACTGTGCACGGAACCGGAAACACTCGAGCTGCTCTCGGCTCCTTCCGGTGAGCTAGTATCGAACGTGTGAGATAAAAGTAACATCACCTGACAGGTGCGCTGACGTTTTCCCGGTTTTTTTTTTCTCCTCCTCGGTTCGTTTTCTGCCGCTGTACCAACCGGAAATGCAACATATGACCCGGAAGCACAAAGGTTTGGTACATCCGGGTCACGGCGCAGAGACGCAGCCGCTTCGTTTGTCTTCACGTGAGTTTTTTTTTTCTCTCATTTGATTTAAACAGATTTTAAAGTTTCACTGTTAAACCCGGCGCGCGCGTGTGTGACGTAGCGTAACATAGCGGGATGTGGCGTGACGCAGGAGAAGTCGCCGTTTGAAAGTGTGACGAAAACAACCTGAACGTCATCGAGTCGTGAGGAAGATGTTTCTCTGGTGGATTCAAACCTGAAACACGTTCGAGTCCCCGTTAGTTAAAACTCAACACAGGATGAGAGGATTCTTTTCACGTCTCTCAGACTCGCCTCTTCTTCTTCGTGCAGCTGTGGACAGAACTCACTGATGCGTCAGTCCTGTGAACTTCTCTCTGATTGTTTCCTCTGGGTCATGGTCTGTGTTAGTGCTTGACCTTTGACCTCCTGCCCTGTGGTCACTGCTCTCTCTTCCTGTGGATGTTGATCTGAACGCTGCTGCTCATTGTTTGGTTCCTGAACCAAGTTTCTCCTGTGAGATAACTGCAGTTGTTCGAAGTGATGATGCGAATGTTTGGTCGTGTTCCGCTTATTTGTTGTTTTGAGCAGATTTTAGAGAGACTGTAGTGAAAGTGTAAAAGTTAAGTCTCTGAATGTTCTCAAAGTAAAAAGTTTCCCTCTGAAGGTTGTTTCTATTGAATGTATCTGCAAATCAAACTGAGACTCATGTCCCATTCATATACTTCCGTCTATTATTTTTATTGACTTAGATTTGTGTGAATTTCTTTGACGTCTGGAGCAGTTGTAGCAGCAATAAAGGAATAAAGAAGTGGTTCAAAATGTCTGACGAGGAGGATGCAGCTCCGCCCATGAAGAGGGGTCGTGTTTTCTACGGAAGCCTGGAGGAGAAAGAGCGGGAGCGGTTGAGCTTAGAGATGGTGAGCAGCACTACTGGAAACGATGCGGTGAAGGCGGGGATTGAGGCAGGAAACATCAACATCTCATCAGGTGGGTCTCATGTTGTAAACTACATGCGTGTGTTGACGCGTCAGAGTGACACTCATTTTCCATGATGCTGTGCAGGAGAGACACTGGAGATGGAAGAGCGAGTCAGCGAGCGGCAACATGAAGCGCTGGCTGAGTTTGAGCGGCGGCGGCGTGCGCGTCAGATCACCGTCTCCACCGACGACACCGAGGTGAAAGCTGGGCTTCGGGCTCTCGGCGAGCCAATCACATTGTTCGGAGAGGGACCAGCTGACCGCCGGGAGAGGTGGGAAAACTTCCTGTTTCAATTCAAATTAAAAGCTTCAAAGTCAACCCTGGTTTTCTTTGAGAATTCCACTGCTATGTTTTTACAACCTCAACCTCCGCTGTGGGTCAGAGGTGAAATTTCTGAGTTCACCGTCGCGTGTGTGACATCATAGTGTACTTCACAACTCCGACTCACACTTACTGTAAGTCATAAATTCTGTTCCTTCACAAAAGGAATTTCCCACAGTTCACAGCGTTGTGATGAATATAAAGCTATAGACAGTAAATGACAATAAAGAAACACAAACGAAGCAACAAATCACAACACTGACATCACGAAAACGTTTTTCTGTATAAATGTGTGTGTGCAGGTTGCGTGGCGTTCTCTCTGTTGTTGGTCCAGATGCCCTGAAAAAGTCCAGAAAAGATGAAGAGCGAGCAAAAAGATCACAGGAAGAGGTCACAAAAACTCACAACACTACACAACAATACAAACCAGCACTACACAACAATACGCAGACTTACAGTATCTTTGACCAATCACAGTGTCAGCAGACGTGGTACCATGAAGGCTCCGCCTCCCTGAAGGATGCCCGGCTCTGGTTGGCCAAATACTCTTTGCCTCGGTAAGTAACAAACTGAGCAATCAGAAATGGCGCAGATATTTGATTATGGATACATTGACCTGATCTTCTCTAAATATGGAATTGATCATGTGATCGACTGCTTCAGATCTACATCGTTGCTTTATCACAGTGAATGTTTGAAGTCTGGTGTTTTTTTCCTGAGCAGGAAGTTCTTTGATTCAACTTTACATAGAATCTGAAGCCTTGTGCCGTTATTGATCCGTTTAAACTCCAATTGTCGTCACAAAATAATCAGAGTGCTGATATATTGAATGGATCTGATTAGCTGAGACTGAAAAGCTCCTGCTGTGATTGGTCCATCAGGGCAGTAGAGCGTCTGGAGGCTGCGCGAGCTCAGAAGGACGTCGCCGATGCAACGAGGGTGATGCGACAACAAGAGCTACACAAGAGTCTGAGGGTGAGACAAGTTCAGATTAATATTATTTATAATGAATAAAGGGATCAATCATTAAAATAATACCAGTATAATATCTTGATAACATTGTTAGCAGCACAATCAAACTGAACTTTTTTCTTCAGAATCTGAACAACTTCTGCAGTCAGATCGGTGACGATCGACCAATCAGCTTCTGCCATTTCAGCCCCGACTCCAAGATGCTGGCCACTGGCTCCTGGTATGAAACCCCACCTACTGTCTCCATTAGCATACAAGAAGTTAGCATTGACACAAGAGGTAGAACTGGAATATACAGCAAAAGCATTAGCACTAGCAACTGAGTTTAGTTTCTTTTGAACTAACCCCCCCACCCCCAACAGGAGTGGTCTGTGTAAGCTGTGGTCCGTCCCCGACTGCAACCTGATTCGTACACTCAGAGGTGGGCGGAGCATCATGTCTCTTGTTTTGATTGATAAATTCTACTCAGATGCAGATGATTAATAATTGAACTTCAGTTTTTATTGAAATATATTTAAAACTCTAACTGAGAATCCGCCCCTGTCTGTCAGGACACAACACCAACGTCGGCGCCATCGTCTTCCGCCCACAGGCTGGAGTCTCTCTCGACCAATCAGATGTGAGCTTGGCCTCATGTGCTGCTGATGGGTCTGTGAAGTTGTGGAACCTCGAGAGGTGAGAGAGAAAGAGGGAGTGAGATATCATGGACGACAGCTCTTTATTTTTTGTATGGTCATTCATTCCTGTGGCTCTGGTTGCTATAGTGACGAGCCTGTGGCGGACATCGAGGGTCACAGTGAGCGAGTGTCCCGTGTGTCGTGGCATCCATCTGGAAGGTTCCTTGGAACGACGTGGTAAATGGGCATTTATTCATAATCACCATCATTGTACAAATACACACAGCATTGTATTAATACATAGTTAATATGTGTGTGTATAGTTATGATAACTCGTGGCGCCTCTGGGATCTGGAGGTTCAGGAGGAAATTCTCCATCAGGAAGGTCACAGCAAGGGAGTCCACGACCTCCACTTCCACCCCGACGGCTCACTGGCTGCTACTGGGTACTTCATCGTACTACACACTATTACACCATACTATGGTTAAGCACAGAGTTCTAAGTACAGTTAGTACTACACCGTACTATAATCAGACTTAAAATGTAAACTGTCTCCCTGTGGCCCCTGCCCCTCCCTGACTGTCATCCAATCAGAGGCCTGGATTCCTTCGGCAGGGTGTGGGACCTTCGGACTGGACGTTGTGTTGTTTTCCTCGAGGGTCACCTGAAGGAGATCTACAGCCTGCACTTCTCTCCCAACGGGTCAGCCAATCAGAGACAAGCATGCTCAACACATAACTAATCACTTTGAAATCAAATTTTGAATGAGAGTGAAATTTAATAACAAAAATATATTTTTTTTACATTCCCCTCTTTTTTGTTCTTCAGATATCACCTGGCAACAGGAAGTGGTGATAACACCTGTAAGGTTTGGGAGCTGAGAAACAGGAAGTGCTTGTACACAGTCCCCGCCCACCAGAACCTACTTTCTTCAGTCCGCTTTCAACGTAAGAAAAACTAATAGGACTGTGACACTATGTGACCCTTGTTAACCATGTTCCTTATTTTTTCTTCTTCTTGGGGTTCAAAAACTTGATAAACCATCTAAACAGCTTCTGCTTTTTGGTTGAGTCCTTTGTCTCCACATGTGTGTCGTCCTTGCTCTGGGCGGCCTCTTCAAAATCCGACTCAAGAGGTTCATGACTGGACTGAGATGACATTTCTGTTGTCCTTCTCAATTTGCTCTTCCCTTTGTTGTCATGGAGCCATTTCCTCAGCTGCAGGATTTCATTCTGCAGGACTTCATTCTCTCTCCTCACCTTTTTCACTTTGTCCTCAGCGTCACACTCCTGCTGAAAGAGGCTGCTGAAGTCCTCACTCAGCTGAACTGTGTGCGGTGGCTGTTGACTCCTCTCCTCTACCTCTTTAAACCAATCCCTCACCTGCTGGAAGTGTTGATTGGTTTTTTCAGCACTGATCTGGAAATGATTATTTTGCTTTGACTCCATTTAAAAGCTTGTTAATATTTTGTGTCGTGAAGCTTCAGTCATAAATATTGTCTCCCCTCCTCTAGCGCAGCGACGTCAAATTGATCCACTTTGGTTCTTTTGGCAACAAACATAAAGGTTCATTGTTGTTGCTATAATGACACAGGATCAAAGGAAGTTTATCCATTTGAGACTAGACTTTCTTTGATCCTGTTGACAGAACATCAGAGGACATTTTCCATTATACAAGTTTTAAAGATTTCTGATCGGCTTTTGATCTTTAAGAATAGTGCCAGGTAGGCATGAGCCAGATCAAAGTCCCACTGATTGGTTAGCATGCTGTCAATCATGTTGACGAAGGTGAGCAGGAGGCTTGTGGCTCCGCCTCCCTCTGATGTCAGACAGGTGAGCTTGGCAGAGCGTCGCCAGCGCACAATCCTTCAGGATTGTCCTCACAGGGCGATCGACTGCACAGAGAGAGTTTTCTTGTTTGACGAATTGCACGGTGATGTCACAAGGTCAAAGGTCAACAAACATTTCAGACTGTGAAAAGCTGATATTTATTTTTCTCGTGATGAGACAATTCAACAGGTGCAGCCTCCGTTCATACAGAAACAAAGAGCGAAACTACACACGAGGCAACAGGCACTTTTATACTAAAACACAGAGGGTTGATGGGCCTCAGCCACAGTATCTACGTCTCCGTGAGCTGTTTCCTCAGCTGCAGGATTTCATTCTGCAGGACTTCGTTCTCTCTCATCACCTCTTTCACTTTGTCCTCAGCATCACTCTTCTGCTGCAAGAGGCTGCTGACCTCCTCACTCAGCTGAACTGTGCGGGGTGGCTGTTGACTCTTCTTCTGGTGTATCTCTTTAAGCCAGTCCTCCACCCGCTGGAAGTGTTGTTTAGTTTTATCAACATTGATCCGGAAGTGTGGTCTCTTTTTCTTTGACTCCATTTCACAGCTTTCTAATATTCTCTGTGTCGTGAAGCTTCAATCATATTGTCTGAGTTCCTCTAGTGCAGCAACTTGGCTTATTTTTTGCGGCAACCAACGTAAAGGTGCCGTCTACTGTTTCTGTGATGATAGAGGATCAAAGGAAGTGTGTCCATTTGAGAATACAGGATTACACTCTGTCTCTTTAATCCTGGTCACATGGCGTCTTTTTGTCTGTCACTTCGTTTGTAGCCACAGACGGCCACTTCCTGTTGACTGGAGCATACGACAACACAGCTAAGGTTTGGAGTCACCCTGGTTGGACGCCACTGAAGACGCTCGCTGGACATGAGGGGAAGGTAAGACACTGCGCTCTGATTGTTCATTCAGGTGTTTGGTCGGGGTCGCTTATGTCATGTGTTTTCAGGTGATGGGAGTCGACGTGTCACCTGACGGGAAATTGATAGCCACCTGTTCCTATGACCGCACCTTCAAACTCTGGGTATCTGAGTGATGTCATCATTAATGGGATGTCGCAGCAGAAGCTGAACTTTTCATTTAATAAAAGTGAGTAATAGCTGGACTTTGTGTAGTTTAATAAAAATTATCATTTTTAAATTTTGTCTTGGCTTAAT